ATTCATTTTGCTGTAGTTACATTGTTGATTGATTTTTCATTCATTTATTATACATTTTTTTCAGGCATTTAGCAATCGTAATTTATGCAACTTTAAACTTTACTTTAAGCAGGACAACAAAAGCTATGTGTATATTGATAAAGTGGAGCTTTGTGCACTTGACTGCCTCTGCGTTGTGCTCTCGGCCTTCCTCTATTTGGCATTCGCCCATAAATTGTAAACGCGAAAACAATGAAATCTGTATATATATAATATATACAGGACAGTCGAGCAGGTATTTGGGTCAGTTTTGGGCGCGATTCGGTGTTTTTTGTTGTTGTGTGCCCCAGCAACATGCAAAACAGAAGTGGCACAAATTTAAGTTAAAAATACAAAAATCCAGAAAGAAAGAAAAAAACAACCAACACAATGTTGCATACAATTGGGCGTGTTTCTTTGTCCCTTCATTAAAATTAAAATAAAAGTGGTTTGCACTTGGGCATCGTGCATCCTGTTTTAATATTAATGAGTCTACAATAAGAGCTGCAGCAGCAGCAGCAGCGGCCATTGCGGCGAGTTTTAAGACTTGCCACAAAAAAATGCGCATAACTAATTGAGTTTGTTTTCGCTGGCTAATTTGCCTGACCAAGTTTTGTATTGTCTTTTAGCCTCTGACGGGTCCGGTGTTTGTTCCATTGTTTCGTTGGTAATACCTCAACTTGGCCTGGTTTATTTTAAATTTATCTGGCTGCCGGTTGATGTGGACTCTGGCCTGCAACTATCTGAGCACAAAGAACATTTTCTTCAGTTTTGTAAATGCCTTTCATCACCCTATTTATATTTATGGGTCCCATTAGAAGACGAGTTAAAAATAGATTTATTAAAAAATAGATAAAATATTCGGTTATCGAAGTCTTTTGCTCTCGGTCAATTTTCATGAATTTATCTTCTTTAATTTAAGACATTTTTTCATTGCAATTTACACATTCATTAAAAATTTCCATTTCACATATTCTATTCTATTCTTGTTTGTGAAGGTGTAAGAAAATATTAATCAGTATTGCGTAATGGAAAATCGCTGAAAACATTGACATTTTTATTTGTTTTATTGTTCATGTGCAACTTTGTAAATATATCAAATTTTAATTACGAAATATAGTATGTGTAGCATAAAGAATACAATTTATACAATTATTTGAAATTTCTATTTCCATTATTCTCTTTCGCATTGTGTTTGTATAAACTCGGCCCTTAGTGCAACTGAGCAGAAAGTATTATTCAGATTTCCGAAATTGAACATCCCTTAAAATGTACAAGAAACAAATAAGTTTATGCCTGTTGAAAACATTGAACTGTTTAGCTTTAATTTAACAAACTACCTGATGAAATGTTGTAAAAGCAAAGTGTATTTCCACATGACTACACTCTTTTCTCTCTTTTCTTTTTATAATTTTGTGTTTATTGCTGTGAACATTTTTTGTTGGATTTGGTTGGCGGAAGTGTTCTCTGTTTTGATATATCAAAAAAAATAAATTTTTATATTTTATACTGTCTTATTGTCATACTTTTAAGCCCCTAGTAACAATTTTATTACATTTCTACTGATCCTAATTTTCGTGGTCTATCGGTTCTTTGATTAGACATATCAAACCATGTTAGTCATGTAATTAACGTGTCGCATATCAAAGCCTATCCTTGGACTAATCAAGAGTTTCTAAACTATCAAAAGCTCGCATCATATATGCATAAATATTTTGAGAAAAATTAGGCCGCGTGGCATGCAAGTGGCATTTGACGTATCCTAATCCAAAGGCCCCATCGGGGCGAGCGAACTGGAAATCTTCAAAGCCACAAAACTTTTGGCACTTGCCCTTTGGCATTTAGGGTTAACTGCCTACGCCCGGCCCGGCTGTGCAACAAATCAAAGCCCACAAATAAAATTCGAAAAGTATTTGCCTGTAACAAGTTTTGGGGCCGCAACAGAACGGAAAGTTTTGTATGGAGCGCATTCCGTTCAAGCGCCTTTAGGTATGCTATAAAATGTTAAACAAAACAAGATTTTCAGCGTTTCAATGTATTCTTATCGCGCGCTCATTTATTATGCAAACTTGGCCAAAGTTTGCATTGTGAAAATTTCTCAATTGCCGCATGCAAAGCCCTCGCCTGGATCGACCTGCCAGGTGGCTGGGTTGGAAGGGGGAAATGGGAAGAGGGGAGAGTGGAGGGTGGAGCTTAGACTGCTAATCAAATGCGACATTTATCAAATTGGCACGCAACATGGCGTCCAAACATGCAAACTGCATGCCCTGTGGGCGTGGCATTCAGGCAAACGTGCCGCTTGTTGCATGCGTGCCAAATTAACGCTGAAAATAGTAAGTGTATAGATATTGGGAGAAAATATATATGTATATTTTTTGGCAGAGTTCATCATGCAACATTTGCGCAAGCCAATTTTGACAGTTGTGGCAAATGGATTTGCGTCTAGACTCTAGGCAGCATCTCCCTCTCTTTCTCTGTTGCTTTCTTATGTTCCCTCTCTTTCTCTCTTCCCATGGAGCCCAGTCTAGTGGCTGAGCATGTGGACAATGCTGGCAAAGTCGGGGCTTTGCCAGTGCCTTAGACTGAGATTTGGCTGCAGTCTGCACGGCTTTGTCTTGCTCGGCATTGCGCGACGAACATGGTCTGCATTTGTAATAAGCCGCCAGATGCGGTCTGGCTCTGCGCTATTTTTCCTTTATTGAGCCTCAAAATTATCTACCACTTTAAATGTTATGAATCTATAAAGTCGACAGTTTTAGAGTTAAATTGTTATCATTTATATATTTTATACAAAGCGTATTTGTACTTACCTAATTTCATAGACTTTCATTTGTAACATAAATATTATTTGCAGCAACTTTTTTACGCACGATTTACGATTAGCTTCAGTCAGTCCTCTCTTATATTGATTATTTTTTCATTCTGTTAACAGCTGCATATAAATATTAATTACTTTAAATAATATCGTACGTTAAATACTATTATTATGGTCATCGTAATTACTAACATTTCACATGCATAATAATGTAACTCTTTGTATTTAAAGGAGATCAAAGAGTCTCAGAAAGCCTAAAACAAACCAACAGAAAAAAATTATGGTTTTGATTGGCTTTAATTGTTTCTTTTAAATTCTATTAAATCGACAAAAAAAAAAAAAAACAATAAAAATACATTTGGTTCCGCTGAGTGCATTCTGCATAACAATAAACATTTTTTTTAACCGAGCTTATATTTCATTGAATTATCTGACTTGAATGGGTTTTTTATGTATGCTAAAGAAAAAATGTTAAATCATTCAATTTTATAATATTGTATATGGCGCATTTATGAGAGTTACTAAAACAACTTTGTTTTAAATGTATTTTTTATAGATTTATTTTTTTCAACTTACCATTTGACTAGGGCCCATAGCGAGCCTATAAAAATAATATGCTACATAAGCTATACTCTAAGGCAAAGCAAAGAGAGGATGATTATGTATACTTATTACATTAGGTATATGTACGTCTTCTTTTAGTTTCAGCGAGAGCTTTTCACAGACTAACTTTTCTTAACACAAATGTTTAGCAGCTGCTAGTCTGATCGTTGAAATCAAGACATTGTGACCAGAATGTATATTTAATTGAATGCAAGCGATTTCATACTTGTATTATAAACATTCTCTAAATATTTGTAAATAGATGTGATATATGCCATGTTATTAAAATTATCGCCAAGTTTGGTAAATATTCAAATAATTTGCCCATCTATAGCACAAAGTTGCATTCAATTTATTTTGACATCTATCCCCGCCCATGGCATAGACGTCATGATTAGCCAAGTTTCAACGCGTATTTGAGGGCGTCACATTAACCGCTATTCGCTATTTGCGAGTCGATAATCAATAGGCATCAATGTGCCAATGAACTCGTCAATGAACTCGTTATCAACGCTAATGGAACCTTTTCCGTGCCACATGCAAGCAATGCGCACGCGAGCAGCCAAAAAAAAAAAATAACAAAAACAAAAAAGACAAGGAAAACATTCCACATTTCAGTTAAAAGCACATGTATGCTATGCCACGCCCACCCTATCGCCTCTCGTGTGGCAGCTAATCCTCGCCTTTTAGTTTGTTTGCCTAGCGCCACAATATGATTACAATAATTTTATGTATATTTGGAAAATGTCGATGCATATTTTGGGTCACGCACGCGAAAACGTTAACAACAGCAACAACAACCACAACAGAAATAAACAGGAAAAATTCAAGCATCAACCGGAAAACGGAATTGATTATCGACACAATATATTCCCCCTTCCCCCGCTATATCAACCCGTGCCCCTCATACCAAACCAAAGGTTTGTCGGCTGCGTTTTATCTATTTGCGTGCCGCGTTGCCGTTTGCCTGTTTTGAATTTGAAATACAAATTACGAAATATAATGTCTTCATTTTTGTGTTTTGATAGCCTGATTCCATTTAAAATTTATAAAAAAATCATTAATGGGCAGAGTAAATTTTTGGCAGATTTGTGGGGCAGAGGGGCCAGTTAAAAAGAAACATAATCGATTAATATTAATAAAAATCTATTGATATATGTATATATATATAATATAATGTACATAATGTAAAGAATGTTTTATTTCTGTCATTTTTTATTGATACCTTAAGAGTTATAATACATTTTATTTCTACCGATTCTTATCGATACTTGTCGAGTCGATTAACATTGATTTTAGCATTTGTGTTTTTCTGGTAAGGCCCAGGTCTATGCCTAGTATTTGCTTACTAGTCTCACCCGACTCGACCAATTGCGAATTAACTTTTTCTTTTTAAATTGCAAGTGATTTGCGAAACACTTAATAAGGTCGAAGTACACGGTGCATATTCCAGATAAATGCGGATCCATATTAATCCATTTCTCAGCAGAGATAATTCTAAAGTAGCCTGGGAGAAAAATGTAAAAACTTTTTTCAGCCATCTGTACTGGTTTGCTTTGGCTAAGCCAGTTATTCAGTTAGATCAAAATTTTAGTCAAGTAAATTCTACCCAAGAAAAATTCAGAAAAGAATTTGTAAAAAATATTCGAGGCCCTCAAATGTCAGACAAAAATAAGTGAGTCTCTTAAAGTAAACTAAATAGATATAAATTACAGAAGTGTGTTTATTATCTGTTCAAAGATCTAGTCCCAATCCCAGTCTACAGTTCAGCTCGGCCATTGGCAGCCCCGAGACCAGGCGCAAAATGTTGCTATTCAAGCAGCTGCTGCAAAAGGAGCTGGTTAGGGATAATATGAGGCCTCGAAAAGTTGTTAATGTTCGGCATCGGAGGCGACAGCAGCAGCAAGAACAAGAACCACAAGCCGAATCAAATTTTTAATTATGCTTGCGTGCATTTTTGTTTCTGATATTTAAACACATTCTTGGGGGGTTTTTACGCTGCGAAAAACCAAAACATATTTCATTCCGTTTTTCAATTATCTTTTCTCGGCCAAAATAAAAATGTCGTTAAATATGTATGTATTTAAATTTTGTGCTTTTTGTCGTTCAAATTGCATTCCCAGTTTTAATCAATAATTTTTTAGTCATAAATACTTTTTAATTGAATTCTTTGCGAATTGCAATATCAGCCTTGCATAGAAATTCAAATAAAAAAAAGTTAAGAAAAAATTAAAAAAAAAATCGTTTCTACTCAATTGAGTTGAATTTGTTTTCTGGAATGCGCAAGCAAAACCCGTAAAACCGCTGCAGCGGTCTGATGCCAGACCGATGGCTTTTGTTGCAATTGTTGCGGTTTTAACAGTTTATAATAAAGTGCCAGTTAGTCAGCCAGTTAGCCGGCAAAAAAAGTCGGGGCCAAATGCGCTTTTATAAAAACAAACCCGAATTCCGCCCACTTCAAATGTTGCGCAGCCGTTTTTAATTGCAGTCAAGCGCCAACTGTTACATTTCGAAGTCGGCAACTTTTATTTATTTATGCAAATTTTGTTTTTCCTTTTATTTGCCAAAGGCCGAGCGGTTGGGGCTCGGCAATATTTGCTGCTAAATTGGCAAAAGTGGCGCAAACTTTTGACCAGTTTTTGAGTCGTGGCAAAAATATTTTGATGGCCGCGCAGAAATAAAACGATATTGTCACAATTTTCGTTGCGTATTTGTTGCGAATGTTGAAAACGAAAATACGTTCTATTATTTCAAATATTTGCAGCCAGCTAATTGGACGACAAATGGCGCGTTCTACGAGCTGCGACACGTGCCAATATTGTCGAGCGAATTCCCCGAGCTGCTGCTGGTCAAAAACTTTTATACTTTTATTTTTGTTAGACAACTTTGGCCATTTGTGGCTTGGCTATGGCCGTATTATGGCAATTGTGTACGGCAACAAAAGTTGTTTGCCACGCCCAAAATCCAAGTCCGTGTGCGGGGAACGTGCTGACACGTACGTTGCGCATACGACATGTGTTACTCGCAAGTCGAGAAAAATATATATGATTTAGATGTATTTATTGTTATGACATAATTAAGCAGTAGTGGAGTTTTAGAACTAACATATATATATATATATGTATATATATTTAAAACGAACAGAGACGTGCACAGTTGTCGCTTTAGAATCCTTGCCCTAGCGCCTTATGGTGAATGCGTTGAAATTGTATGTGGGAATTGGCTCGTTGGGCGTAAAAACGGCTTTTTCGATTATGGAACGTGGACTGCCCTTGTGCTGTAGCCACAAGCGCCTGCAAAGATTAATTTAAATTAATTTATATAAATATTGAGCAGCGGTAGTACTCACATTTCAGATATCATATCCTGAGGTCCCTCCATGATGCCTTTGACAGTGCCTTCTTTGGTATTCATGCACCAGCCATTGAGACCCAACTGCTTGGCCTTGATTTGTGTGTGCTTAGAGCCCAAAGATGCTGTTTAAAATCGGCTCCAATGGATAAATTTAAACTTACCTTACGAAAATATACGCCTACGTTTTGAGTGTTAGAAATTGTTGCATTTAAGTGTATTATTCAACACTTACCTTGCACACGGCCAAAGATCTCGAACATTGTGCTATAGATCTTCTTCTCGCTGCCCATATTTTTAGCTAATATTTCAGTGGGCAATTTCGATTCGACTTTCTTCGATTGCTTAATTTTGGTATCCATTATTAACAGTTCTTGAACATTGAAAACCAAAAAGAAAAAATTTCTAGATGCTATATATATTTTTCAAAAATTGTTAACTACTACGCTTGTTATTTGTTTTACTGGAATGATTAGGTGTATAAGGAGAAGCTCGTAGCTAATGTTGATTTTCAAAATTTGACAACGTTTTCTCAACATGCTCTTTGATTTATTGAATATGATTCAACTGGCTCTATACTGGCTTTAAGTATTTTATGTAGATAACTTTGCAAGTTCAACTTTGCAAGAACTTGGACTTAGTTCAATCGTTGTGAAAGGAGAAAAATCGCTCGAAAATAGAGCTTGTGTGTCAGGGTATTTTCTCTTCGGTATGTCATTATAAATTAATGTGAAATGCGTTTGGTTTTCTCGCAGTGTATTGCAGCTCTTATAGTTAACCTTTGACAGGCTTTGTTGTGGCATAAAACGTGCAAATGTGATCTCAATTTACGGAATAGCACTTGTAGTTAATGTGCGTGGATAAATTGTCTGGTTAAACTTGATGTTTTTCCAGCATAAGTGCAATTGAAAATAATGCCACATTAAAAATACATAATGTTTCATCTGACTGTTTGGTGATTGCAATTTGCTCAAAAGATCATCAGATTTCCGCACTTGTAAGAGCTCAGCAAGGAGCTATGCTGATGCCTCCCTCCCTCTTTATCTCCCTCTCTCTCTCTCTCTCTCTCTCTCTCTCTCGGTCTCTCTGGGTCTCTGTGCTGACAGCTATTTCTGGCTGCTTCACTTTTAGCGCTTCCGGTTCGTTAAGTTTAACGGTCGAAGCTGCTGCGCACTGCTGGCCACAGGAGAGAATGAAAAAATAAACTGAAAAACAGGATATGCGAGTGGCAAAAGGTAGTCGATGGGTATGGGGAGCTACTTGCTACTTGGACGCTTCAGTGGAAACTTCAATAAAACGTTTGACGCTGCAGGCGAACTGACATTTTCCATTAAGTGCAGACAGCTCGCAGTTTTTTCGGGCTGGAAGGCCAACGTTTCTGGCCAAGTTTTATGGTAGAAAATGATGTTCGACTTGGACTGTTGATGATGCTGTGCGTGCACAGCTCTTGGGCGCTGTGTGTGAGGTGCCTTTCTAATGCTCTTATTTCAATGTGTCTCTTTTGCTACTGCTGGTAGCTGCTGTTTATAGCCAGCTTTTAGGCGCAAACAGCACGCACATTAATTAAAGCTGAAGCCGGAGTCAAAGTTGCAGCTGCTGTTGCTGCTGCTGCGCTGTTTTTGGCCAAGTTTTTTGGCCAAAACATCAAAGTGTCATCAACAGGCAGCACTCGCCGGAACTGCACTTCCGCTTTTGACAAGGCACAAGGAGCCGCCAGGACAACGATGGCCAGGACAACGACAAGCACTGACATTGTGGCTGTCCGTTGCCCGGTACTCCTCGTCCTTGCTTGTCTCTCTGGGTCTCAGTGTGTCCTTATCATTTGCGACAAATTCGCCGACAACTTTACTACAATAATATTTATTTTCAAAATATGCTCGAGCGCGTCTCGCTCCCTATCTTTACGTCTGTGTAGAGGTGGCTGCGGGACGCACACTTTGAAGTGTTGCCAATGTGCAAAAGTAATCAAAATATTTTGTCAGCTTCAGCTGCAGCTTAGAATTGGTAACTGAAACGCTTCGCGTGCTCAGCTTCCTTTATTTTTCTGTGGTCGCTTTTAAAGTGCTTTTCCAGAAATTGGCAAAGGAAATTGAGTTGAAAGTTGCACAGCTCAGCGAATGGCACTTAAATGTGGCAACACTTTAAATACCCAAGCACCCGCAGGCATTTAAAATATTAGACGACACTTTGCACTTTACAGCGCCGCGCTTCAGTTCCTCCTTTCCTCTCATTCTACTTATATCTTTCTTTCTCTTTATTGCGCACTATGGATAAACTTAATGATTTAAGGTCATAAAATAAATCACTCAAAACATGGAAACTAGCTTAAGAAGGTCGGACTTGAGTGTTTTAACTTAAATACGAAGAGGAAACTCCAAATTAATATTCATATGCTTAATTAATTATCTCTTATTGTCATTATTATTTTATTATTTAATATTATTATTTTATTGTTTAGTTCAGCAATTCGAAGGGAAATATTTTCTAGATTCTGAATATCAGTTGTTTAGTTCTCTGGAAGTTCACATTTTCCAAATTCTTATGCTAACAGAAATATTTATATTTATATTTGTGTAGCACAAGCAGTTAAAATAATCCTGAGAAAACTCAAATTTTTCTTATTCCTATGCTAACAGAGGTATTTGCAAGAAGCTGTCCAAAAAGTTCACATTTTCCTCATTCTTTATTTTAACAGCTTAATTTGTACATATGCTAAAAATGTTAAATACACTGTAGAATTTATGACACAATACTTTGTTTTAAGCACTGTTAAAAACTTTATTATTTCTATATAGAAATGCAAATTACTTCCACCGTCCTTTGGCCTAACCGAAATTGACATTTATGCAATTTGATTTTGTGCCGCACAGCAAATTAAATTTGCTCAGCTTGCTGCTCCCCAAAAAGTATGCTCTGTTTTTCTGCCCGCAGCCAAACAGTGCGAAAGATGTCTCTTAACTTGTGTGTGTGTGTGTGTGTGTGTGTCTGTGCGTGTAGGACGTTTTCAAACAATTTCACGTGGAAATTTGTTACAAATTGCGGCTACAGTGAAAATTTGCATAAAATTTCCATATGCGTTTTTGTTATCCTGCCTGTTAGCCCCCGTCCCTGCTCCCGCTTCGCGCCGTCCGCTCATTTCGCTTTCGCTTTTGCATAAAAATGCCGCCTGACTGACAAATTTCACGTGTCGCGCGGTTAATTTATGAACTCTTGAAAATATTTGCGCTTTTTTAAGTCCCGCGAGTCGCATAAAATTGCTATTTGAAGTTTCCCTTTTTTTTTCTGTGCTAATCCAGCCTATTGGAGTGGGATTTGTCCAGTTTGCCTGTGAGGTGTTAACATGTTCAAAACCTCCATTTGCATTTGGCCTGGACCAGCCCCCAAAGCAGGCAGAAATAAGGCAAGTTAATTTATTTGCGCCCTGTCTAAAAACGCCAAACGAGCCGCCTCTCAACCAATTTTCATTAAAGCACATAAATTGTTGTTTATGGCACCCCAACCCCACAGGGGTAGCTTGGGACCCTCGGACCTGGGCAAAAACCCAGACGCTGCACCGAGGGCTCAGACAGGGCAGCCCCACTGCTTTTTCTGCCCAGAAGTCGACTTCATTTCATATTCATGGGCGCGCAATTCGAAACTCCTTTTTTGCTCCTTTCGCCTGCTGCAGCCAGTGTCCAACTCCCGCTTACCCTGCCTCGCTTTCTATCCGTTAATAAAGTTTGG